GTGACTATTCCTTCTGCTACTGTGCCGCCGAAAGCCTCGGGGTCGAAGCCTCGGGAAAGGGCCCAGGATGAGGCTGATTTCGTGTTGGTACCCGACTCCATTCAACGCCAGAAGAGTCGGGACAAAGGGAAATCGGTGGAGATCCCCCGTTCTCCCAGTGGCCTCGAGACGGTCACCCTCGAGCGGCCCTCTCGTTTTTGGGATCACCCTCACCCCCACGAGATCGCTAAGTACCTTGACTCGGTTATCCCTACTGCTGACAAAGCCCGTTCCGACAACGATCCCTATGACCGTGCTGGCCAAGCCCTTCTGTGTTTTTCTTGGGTAATTGTTCTCGACTTTTATTTCTTTTGCGGCTAGTGGCAAGTCGACTTTTTCTCTTGCTTTTGCTCTAACTTGGCTTTTTCCTGGCTTTTCCTTAGTTCACGACGTATGTGATGCCCACTCTTCTTGAGGAGTCCAGCTCGCCTAACTCCAATGTCCACGCCTACAAGAAGTAGTGCGAAGAACAACTTCGTGAGCTCGAGCAGAAGGAGGACGACCTTGCGGCGGCCAATGCCATCATTGCGATATCTCAAGTCTGAGAAGGCCGCTGTTCTCTCCCAAGTCGGTCGGCTGCGTGCCGACCTTGCGAAGGCCACCGAGGACAACATGGCCGAGAGGGAGATTGGGTTGGAGAAAAGGCGTAAGTCCTTTCTCAAGTCGCCCATGGGCTCGGTTTTCCTCGAGGCCTATCGCAAGGAGGTTATTGGAGCCTTCTGCAATTCTCCTGCCTTCCTCGAGAAGCTGTGCCCGGCTACCCTCCAGTACTTCAACTTCACATTTGATGCATGGGAGTCGGCTGTTAAAGGCATCGCCCTCGAGGGGACGATCGACCGTCAAGCGGTCAAGGTGTCGCTCCCTCTCGCTCGACTATCGTGGCGATTACTCACTTCCTGACGACTACCCTTGGTGTTCGGGACTTGAGGCTCGGGCGATTCGAAAGGCTAAGCTTGGCGCTCAACTTGAGGTTCCTCCCACCCCTCTGGCCGGCCCCACCGACTTAGTCGAGCGAGCGGGGCGGATGACGAGGAAGAAGAGGAAGAGGTCGACGAGGAAATCAAAGTCGAAAAGCCGACAGCAGGGCCGGCGGTCGAGGGGACGGGTGAGGGGACTGAGTCGCTGGGTGACGAGGTGGCGCAGAGGACCGAGCCTGTGGTCGACGGGGGCGAGAATGCTGATTTGACTGAAAAATCAACTGCGGATTCCCAGAAGAACTAGATATCTTACTTGATAGTTTTGTTTGTCCTGTTTTTCTTTTTCTTTGCCGTTCTTAACCCATTTTCAAGATTGTAAGGGTTAAGACGACTGCGGATGTAACTTGGTCGCTTATCTAATATAATCCTTTATTGGCTTGTCGTTTCTATTTTCACCGATTCTCGTAGTTGATTGTGCCTGAATGATTTCTTTTTAAGTTTCTCAATTTGCCTTGTATGTCTCCTCCTAACCCGGCTTGCGAGCTGGTCGAAGTCGAGCAATATTTTTAGCAGCTTCATAGCTGGTAAACAAGTTTTTCAACTCGTCTTCTCCCAACCCGGCCTGCGAGTCGGTCAAAGTCGAGCAATGCTTTTAGTAGCTTCATAGCTGGTAAACAAAAAGTTTTTTCAACTCGTCTTCTCCCAACCCAGCTTGCGAGATGATCGAAGTCGAGCAATATTTTTAGCAGCTTCATAGCTAGTAAACAAAAAGTTTTTTCAACTCGTCTTCTCCCAACCCGGCTTGCGAGCTGGTCGAAGTCGAGCAATATTTTTAGCAGCTTTATAGCTGGTAAACAAAAATTTTTTTCAACTCGTCTTCTCCCAACCCGGCTTGCGAGCTGGTTAAAGTCGAGCAATATTTTTAGCAGCTTCATAGCTGGTAAACAAAAAGTTTTTTCAACTCGTCTTCTCCCAACTCGGCTTGCGAGCTGGTCGAAGTCGAGCAATACTTTTAGCAGCTTCATAGTTGGTAAACAAAAATTTTTTTCAACTCATCTTATCCCAACCCGGCTTGCGAGCTGGTCGAAGTCGAGCAATACTTTTAGCAGCTTCATAGCTGGTAAACAAAAAGTTGTTTCAACTCGTCTTCTCCCAACCCGGCTTGCGAGCTAGTTGAAGTCGAGCAACGACTTTGAACAGCTTCGTAGCTGGTCATCTAAAATGTAGGGATGTGACCGTTCGTTATTCGTTTTAAGTTGATTTTCATGGTCGTAAGTTTCGTGGCTTAGGCGAGGTTCCACTTCGAGATACAACTTTGTTTGTGTCGACTTCGTAGTCGTAAGCTTCGTAGCTTAGTCGAGATTCCACTCGAGATACAACTTCGTAGTTGTTTGAATCGACTTCGTAGTCGTTGTTTGTCCCATTTTTGTGTCTTTATTTTCGCTTTATTTTCTCTTTATTTCTCCCCACTTATAGGATTTTCGTAGTTTATTTGGTCCAATTCTGTGTTTTTTCCGTTTCTCTCTTTAGTTCGTTATGTGCGTCTTTTTGCTGTGTTTTGCTTCGTGTTTTCTTCGTGTTTGTGTTTTCAGGTGGTAGGTTGTGTTGATCGAGGACGGGACTACTTGAGCTGAGACCGGGATATCAAGAAGACCCATTAACGTGATCAGAATATTGAAGGAAGGACCGGAAAAATGGACCGAAAAGCTGCTCAGAACAACTCGCGACTCGCGAGTCAGTGTCGCGACTCGCGAGGAAGTCGCGACTCGCGAGTCCAACAGAGACGTAAAGGAGCTGTTCGCGAGAAGAGCCGCGACTCGCGAGGCGATGTCGCGACTCGCGAGATTAGTCGCGACTCGCGAGTTAGATCGCGAGTTTCCCCAGAATTTACATATTTTTCGAAGACGCGCGACTCGCGAGATTTCGCGACTCGCGACTTGGCAAAACTGGATGTCGCGACTCGCGACTTTGGTCGCGACTCGCGACTTATGCGGCGCGAATTTCGAGGTCAGGATTTTTATATCAGATTTTCGACCTAGACATGAGAGACAGATTCCAGACTTCGTTTTTTCACTTTTTCTCTAAAGAAACTCATTCCTTTACATGCTTTTACTCATTCGATTGGATTTTGGAGATTAAAAACTCTATTTTCCTTGCTTTGGATTGGATGTTTTTGGATTCAACATTGAAATATCATTATTAATCGTAAGTTTTTCCTTCTCTATTGTGTGATTGATGATGATGGCTTAAGTTCTTATGAATTTTTATGTTGAATTCCATATGAGTAGCTAAATCCATACACTAGGGATAGGGGATGATTGATTAGGTTCGATAATAATTGCTTGTTCTTGATTGTTCATATCTATTCAAGTTGTGCTTATTCTAGGGTTAATAGATTGATCACCTGTTTAACCTAACTAATCAACGTGTGGAACCGTGAGGGGAGACGTTGGTCGATATAGGCTTGTTTAGAGTAGACTTGTTCGTAATTGTATTGTCTATGCGTTGCGGGAACTGATAGTTAATCGTTTACATCCACTCTCTTGTTCGTAACTGTATTGAGAGTGAACCTCTGAACGACTGAACGAGAAACGATTCAGGTCCTTAAACCGAGCAATTGATTGCCGGCAGCTGTGGTAGAACCGAAAGCAATTATCCCCGATTCCCTAGCTCTTTAATCATTTGAGTAAATTCGTTTTCTGTTTAAGTTGCTTTTCATTTATTTTCAAGTCATTAGTTATAATCAAAACCAAATCCATTGAATAGAGTGTCTAGGATATTTTCTCTTTTTCGTGATCGAATAAACGTACGATTGAATCCGGCTAACCTTCCTTGCGATACGACACGGTGTCGAATCTTTCGATTCTACTCCGGTAAAAATACTCACAACAGTCGTAAGCTTCGTAGTTTAGTCGAGATTCCACTCGAGATACAACTTCGTAGTTGTTTGAATCGACTTCGTAGTCGTAAGCTTCGTAGCTTAGTCGAGATTCAACTAGAGTACAACTTCGTAGTTGTTTTAGGTCGACTTCGTAGTCGTAAGCTTCGTAGCTTAGTCAAGATTCCACTCGAGTACAACTTCGTAGTTGTTTTAGGTCGACTTCGTAGTCGTAAGCTTCGTAGCTTAGTCGAGATTCCACTCGAGTACAACTTCGTGGTTGTTTTAGGTCGACTTCGTAGTCGTTGGAGTTGGTCGGCTTTATAGCCATTTTAAAAATTTCGATTTTTCGAGTAATCATAATGGGATCGACATGAAAATGTAAAAGACACAATTGAAGCATAAACTTGAAATTCATTGCATTACTGAATTTGATTAAGCTTTGTTCAGTACAAAAGAGTTCTAAAACATTGCCTTAAGCATAAAAACGCTTGAGATGGATCACATGCCAAGATCGCGGCAGTTGTCGTCCCTCGCCATCCTCGAGTTCATACGCACCTCTCTCGAGCACCCTTGTGATTGTGTAAGGTCCTTCCCAGTTGGCTTCGAGTTTCCCTACATGTTTGAGAGCGTCTGCTCGTTTTAGGACGAGGTCGCCCACCTGAAATCGTTTGGTTCGGACTTTTTTATCGAAGGCGGCATGCATTTTTTGCTTATACTCCATGGATCGCACCCAAGCTTCCTCTCGTCCTTCCTCATTCATGTCGAGGGCTTCTTCAATCATTTCCTCATTCTTCTTCTCCTCGTAAAATGTCGACCTATGAGAATCCAAGTCGACTTCGATAGGCAATAGTGCATCCATTCCGTAAACCATGTGAAATGGCGTCTGGCCTGTTGAACTTCTTGGAGTCATCCTAGAAGCCCACATGACTGTTGTCAACTCGTCGACCCAAGCGCCTGATGCCTTCTCCAACCTCTTCTTCAGCCCTTGGAGAATGGTTCGATTGGTCACCTCGACTTGACCATTGGCCTGGGGGTGTGCGACCGAAGCAAATCTTTGCTTTATCCCCATGTCGAGGCACCATGCTTGAATCCGCCTCCCCTGGAACTGAGTCCCATTATCAGAAATTAGCACTTTCGGAACTCCAAATCGACAGCAGATGTTGTTAAACAAGAACTGAATCATTTTCTCTTCTGTGATTTTCGCCAATGGTTCCGCTTCGACCCATTTACTAAAATAGTCGATAGCGACCACCAAGAACTTCCTCTGTCCTGTTCCTGTTGGCAATGGGCCCACCAAGTCGATTCCCCATTGCGCGATGGGGACTGGGGTGTTGATGGTCGTCATGTATTCGGCGGGTATATGAGTGATTTGCCCATGACGTTGACATTTCTCGCATTTCTGGACCAGCTGTTCCGCCATTGCTCGCATCTTGGGCCAATATTGTAATATCCCAACTTTTATCAGTATAATAATATTTCAGTTCCGATATTATTTTTTCGGAATTAATTATTTTCAGTTATTTCAGTCAAAATTACCGGAACTATTTTCGACGTACCGTTTTCGTTCGAAATAATTTTGGTGATTTAGCATTGTGTTCAATTGAATAATTAAACATAATTAAGTGATTAATTTAA